CCTGATCAGCTACATAATACTGACAAATGCAAATGAAACTGTCAAACTCTATGCAAAATGACAATTTTTTCAGAATAAATTTTCATTGACATCTGTTGAAATAGTTAATCATAAATGTGTGAGTATTTCACTACTATTTATAGTGTATAGTTAAATACAGTTGTCATTGCTAGTAATAACACCATCTGTTTCAGTCAGTTTCAATATTGACTATATGTAGCAGATCCACAATATTTTAAACGTCTGTTTCATAGGCTTACTTACTGTTCAAGCTGAAAGGTTGCAATGACAGTTTTCACATTAAGAAGTTTCTCATATCCAAAATCAGGTATGATTATAAAATAAATACTGGTACTTAGTTGGGAAGAGTACATGATTTCAATCTTGTTCACCACACCAAACAACAGTAGAAAAAAAGTTCCAAACGAAGGTGTCACGTAAATAAAAGAAAGCTATGCTAAAATCAGGTAGGAAAAGCAAACAAGGACTCTTTCACTACACCAGACAAATGTCACATTCTAAAATCACAGTGTAGGCTGGTGCTTCGTTTGGAAGTTGTCCTCTACAACACATACTACCAGTCTTTAATTTTCTTTATCAGCCTGGCCAAGTAGTAAATAATATATTTGTATGTTTTGCAGAACAAGGATATCCAAAACCACAAAAATCCAAATTATTTACAGCTACACAGATAAATGTTTTGAGAGGAGACTTAATTATTCATAGATAACTTTCAGACCACACTGTCTTTTCAATTTTAACAGGTCCAAAAGATTATGTCTACATAAAGAATCTCTTATTTTAGTATTTACACCAATTGATATAATTTCAGTGACCATCAATACCAACTTAAAGAAAGTCAATAAACACCAGAATCAGTAACTTAATCTTCACACAGCATCAATATTACACATCATAAGCTCTCTCATCTCTAGTATGCTTAACAATTTGATGTAAATGTCCACAAGGGAAATCTAAGACTAAATAAATAGAACACTAGTTAATCTTTAGGCTATCCTCTTTATTATAGTCTTCTGGTCTGGCAGAGTTCCACACATCCCTTAGGCTGTTTGAGAAGCTAAAAGACATTTAATGGAATCTGTATTTTCTTTAACTTTCAAATAATAATTATTAAACCTCTAATGTAGTGTTAGAAAAATTATCCAAAGATATGCTATTTTTTCTGGAATTTTGTTTGAATTTCATGCTCTTATTTAAATATCTCACAACTTTTCTGATTTTAATTCATTCTGTATTTTAAGGTATTCCATGTTTGTACAAAATGACAAGTCATTGCATTTGGTAAATATACCAATATTTTCAACTAAACAGAAGATTCAAACTACCTTGAGGCATTTGAGAATTTTTGACACAAACTATCCAGTAGAACATATATAATATTTTATGAATATATTTTCCATGGCTGGATCAATAATAATCAGAATAATTCAATAATAAAATATTGAACACCAGTAGATAGCAGATGTTGAATTAATTTTACTGGTATTGATTGTATAGTCTATGACCATCTAAATCTATTCATACATCTACTCAAATCCTGGCAGGCACTCTCCATTTTAACATATAAATCCTTCACAAATTCAACTTCTTTTCTTCATCTCCTTGAGCAAGATCATTTTCTGATTCCACAGCCAGGGCTCTCAGTTTCCGCTTGTTGTCAACTCTAGCTTAATTCTCTCACTTGAAAAAAACTAATCTAAACCCTCTCTGTAATGACAATTTTAAATCTATATAAATATGTCAACATTATTCCATAATATTCAACTAAACTACTAAAATATTTGAATCCAAATGAAAGCAAGATTTCACTATCTCCAGGAATAAGAAATAAAACACTCTGTAGTTGTCGTCTGCTGTATGACACTGGCACAAGTCTGGTGCCAAGTTCTTTTATTATTATAAATGGCATTTGAGACAGTGAAAGCCGAGGACAATAATGATCTCTCTTCTAACCTCTTATAGACGTCATGCTCGGCTAACTCTATTCAGAACAGATGATGTGATTTTGAGAAAGAACAAAGAAATATTGGGGATTGGAGTTAAAAACACATTACAATGGATAAGATTTGGTTAAATATTTCAACAAAGACTATTAGTAACAAATAAAACACTAATGATCTGATAGTAAACTTTCACTATTTTATTACTAATTAATTAATTTTACTACATTTTAATAATTTTTATTTTAATTTATTATTTTTTGGCAAGATATTTAGTTTTTAGTGAAAAGTATTGAAAACTTAATATACACAATTATATTATTTCACATGTTTTAAAATAATTCAAATTTCTAAGAAACTAAGGTTTTTTTCTTTTATTTAAGTCTAGTATATTCCCATATTGACAAAAGTGAGCCTGAGGAAGGTGAAGAAATCCAACAATCACTGAATTTATCTTTAATCAACGTTGTTCTACTAAGCTGTGTCTATATACTGTCAGAAAAGTAGGATGTAAAACTCCATTCATTACATTTTAATTACCTATGTATCTACATGTACTGAAATGTACAATTACTAACTACCATTTGAACGACTTTCTACTATTCCTTTGAAACAACTGTGAATTCCAAGTTCTTGTAAAAGACTGGTAAAACATATACAACAATATTTAGTGATAGAATTAAAGATTGGCAAACTGTTATAGAGACTGAATTCATCAATTCTTAAATTGATTTTCACACCTAAAACAAGAGATCTAAATAATGTTCTTTGTGAGACAGGACCAAGCGGAACAATTCCCTTGTTAAACTCTTCCTTTGTATGATAATTAGACTAATGTACCCCAGTAACCTCTAATGATCTGGAATGATTTCTTTTAACAACAGGAAATGTTGAGAATGTCTGACACATCTGTTGGTTTCCAACCACTTGAAATGCATGTATGACACCCAGTGGCAGTACCAGCACCATTACTGGGTATACTTCAGAGGGCAGACTGACTTAATGGGGGAAAACTGTTGAGGATGGAATGCAGCACAGGGTAATAGTTTGTACTCCCACTTGTACCCCACTTCATTTTTAAGATTTAAAAATATGATTTTCATGTTTTCATGCAGGTTATATTTCGGATATTTTTTGTTTTATTACTGCACATTAGACACATAACACCAATAATGAGTGGAGGTTTCAAATCTGGAGCTATGTAATTTTGTGACATTTAACCCCTAAATATGTGTCAAAATGCATCAAATCAATTTTTGTTTATTTTTTGGGGAAAGTTTGGAATCTCAAACCTAATAGTTGCCAACCCATTAAGTCAGATTGCCTTTAATTATTACCATGTACTTTACCATCATAGTTTCACAAACGTGAAAGTTTCACGATATAAAGTAAATATGTACAGGTATTTTGTGGGGTATTAAAATGTGCAAATGCTGAAAAGCACAATGCAAAACAGGAACTACCTTCTGCTTGGTTGTTTAGTTGGTATATGACCACTTTCAGCTTATGGGTATCAAGGTAGTTGTAAGTAGTCGTGGTGGTTTATGGTTTGTCGTAAGATGAGGATCAATTGGATGGTTCGGTACTGATGGATTACAGCATTCAGACATCTATATAGTAGTTCCCTATAGAGGCAACCTCCTGACCTTGACAAATCTGGTTTCAAGGTCAAATTCAGAACAATTTAGATAATTAATCGCGCATTGCACACTAATAGTTAGACACAATCAAAAAGAGGCAGTTTGATCCGAATTTTTTCTTTGGTAGGCAAACAACACGATCACCTTCTTGAGGAGGGACCTCTCATCTTGCCCTACTTCCATCAAGGACAGATTCTGCAAAACATTGGTCAGACCTCAGGCTCCTCTACAGTCTGGTACCTTCACACCAAAAATGACATTGATAAACTTGAAGTAGTGCAAGGAAGAGCAACCAAGTTTGTGGCTAATAACCACAACAGTACCAGCAGAGTCATGGCGATGCTAGAATGGCTCTGCACCAACGCAGATTAAGAGGTCACATTTGATGTACCAGGTTGTCTATTCCCTAGTTGCCACCCAACTGCCTTCCCAATTCAGCCACTGGAGCAGCCACAAGGGGACGTCAACATCGGTTCAGGGTCTTATTTTCCACTACCAACAACATATGGAACCAGCTACCAGAGAATGTCATCTTGACCGAGCCCTTGGAATCCCTCACAAACAGGATTAAGGGTCTGGAAACACCATAAGATGTGGCATTGTATGATTTTACCATTTTTTTTCTCTTTGCATAGTCGTGTGGGCATATTGAGAATATACCACAGAAGCTGTCCTTCACTTCCTTGGAAGAAAGAGAGGCACTAACTTACTGATCTCTTTCAAAGAATAAATAACAAATCAAACTGATGTGAGGTATTTTTTCAAACAGAACTGATTGAGGTGTGTGCAAAAAAATCAGAGGCCAGTATAAAGCTGAAATTCGGATACAGAATACAAATCTATTGATATTTAATCTATTTAGTGAAATATTATACAGGCTGAAAAACCCATTTGCCTATTATTAGCACAGTGTGACACTCTGGAATCACTAACATCACGTCCTATTTCAATCATGTATTTCTATATTGCTGTGTAATTAATGTACAGAGTCCCATTTTAACAGAAAATACTGTTTCTATTGTATTAATTGTAATTGTTAATTTTTAACGATGATTTTGTCAATTATGGAAAAAGAGTATTGTGTATCAGTCGGGCATTACAGTACCCACGATCTCTTTTTCCATGGAGATTTTCCAACTAGAAATGTATATAAGTACAAAAGGTTGCCCTTTAAACTATTTATTTCAATACAGTATAATATAATACAAATTACCCACACTATATACATGTAAAACAAGACGCAACAACACACAACGAAAGAACAATTTGCCATCTGGTCCATGTACATCTTCGGAATATCTTATCTGTTTACAGATACAAATTCTCACTCGAAATTTAATCGTTCTCAAAATGATTGACAAAATGTGATTCAGGAACCACAGTAGTTGGTAGTAGATTATTATACCATGTCACATCTATACAGCAAAAACTGAAAGAATAAAGAATTTCAAATAATGATTTTTATTTCACTTAAAATGAGTTCCTTTACCAGGGGATCCAGAGCATCAGTTTGGCTTTTTTGTCATCATAACTGTAAGTAATATTACCAAAATAGTTCGTATAAAGGATTAACTAGAATTGGGTACACTTAGCAATTATTTTCATCTGTTTTAAGTCTGTCCAATTTTAGTGAAAAAAGCACCTTTCACCCATTTACTCCATAAGATTGTTTTTGAAAATATCTTCATTGAATAGTGTTTTATGCTGCCTTTTTAAGCAAAATGAAGGCTACTTCCAAAGGATTTTACATATTGAAATCGCTTTGCTTTATTTACCTGTCTTAAACTACCAGTAAAATTTGCATAGTCTGAACATAAACTACCAAAGCCTATAGGTGATCTTCTCACTAATACTGGACCTGAAATGGAAATGGAAATCTATCGGATGATCACATTCAATATCATATCGGTTCGAACTAACTGTAACAGATGATGAAATATCTTCTGATGTAGAATTGAAATGGAAAACTGACACCAGACAAAGCACAGTAAACCAAGTTAGATTTCTGAGGTATGGCAGGTGAGAACAGAATATGAGAGAGATGATTATTTTTGGTATTTCTATATTCACATTATTTTGTATTAGAACCACGATCGCTTTGACGATAGTAAAAGGGGTAAATGTGGGCTTAACCGCCTGATACATCAAAATTTCATACATATCCGTGACAATTTCAACAATTCGTATTGGGTTTAACTGTGTACTGGGACGTTAGTAACGTTATCACTAACAGTATAATCTTACCAGTAGATTGCCAACTTGTTTGATGTAATAAATTGGATTCCTTGAACACACTAACTGTCACAGTTTGACCATCATATCGTATTGACGTTTCTAACCATATATTTTTCTGTAAACAAACAAAAACAAGGATTAATGCAACACCGGTAGGTCTACAAGTATTCTAAATGTTCATTACTTACCACATAATATCAGTAATCACCATTAAACCGTATCTCATGTTTATGACCCTACAAAAGCCGATATCCATGTTAGTGTAGTTACCACATCATTGAAATGTCCGTAGCAGACTGAGAAAGAAGAACAGAATTTGGATTACGTTTAAAAGTTATACTGATAGCGATACGTACCGGAACTGTAAATTTTACGTTATTTTGCCCAGGCGATCCCTCAGTCAGCAATTTGACATCGAGGTCAACATATCCAGTGATACTTGAGTCTAATACAGTAATTGAAGTGGAAGGTTCTTCAGCACCGTCACATCTTTTATTCTCCAGAACTGCCTGTAAGATGGGAACAGAGTCTCCAACTTTGAATGTTATGGATATGTACAAGTCTGTTCCCATTGGCATGTTAGCAGTACCGGGTATGCTGATATGACTTTGGTTGTTCTGGAATATGGCCGTTCCGCCAGTAACATTTATTTTATCATACTCTACATAGAACCTGTTCATCGACACATCTTCAATATTGTTTCCAGTAAACGGAATGTCAATCCCGGCATGACAAACATCTGAAAACAAGAAAGCTTTCATTAATGTGTATAAATGTAGAGTTCTGGGCCTCAGCTGATAAGCATTGGTTAAATGCATGGGGTATTCCGAACACATCCTTCCACATGGCCAAGGCTGAAAACTCCTCATTGCAAAATTATCTCGGATCATACAGATATGTCTCGTTGCCAACTTGGCCCGAATTGACCAAACTTTGGTCACAGCCTATCTGAAATACAAATTCATATAAATCTTTTTGCCTTGCATACGAATGTGGGTATGAGTACGGCTATGTAGACCACCTACCCAGTCCGCACCAAAAGAAAGCTTCTCTAATATTATACTCACCACTGTTTTTCTGACATGTACATCCAAGTTCATCAAATGTTGTGCCAGCTGGACAGTCTGAACTTTGCAGTGAACATGGCATAGCTGAAAAGTACATAAAGATATATGCGATATTTCAAAATTGTGAAGGATTCGAATCCATAATCAGCTCCTGAAATTTTGCATTATAAATGAAACTCATACGAGCCTATATTCTTGTCACCACTTAGTAAAAGATCTAATTTTCAACAAATAGGATTCTCCATATGAAAAAAGCTATTCTGTGCTACATATGTAACAAAACATACTAAAGATAGATATAGAAAATCAACTTACATAAATTAGCTGTAGTACTGAAATCATTACAAAACTCGTCTTCACACTGTGAAGTTCCATCCGATATACAACCTAGATCCTCTTGAAACTTTTCTCCAGGAGGACAACATTTTGAAGTCGCACTACCACCAGAACAATACCAATATGCCGAACAGTGAGAGTAATATTTCATCATTTTCCCAGAAGTTTGATTAGTGCAAGGATCTACAATTCAACAATGTTCTTACATCAGACTATCATATATATGCAGATTACCAAAATCGCTTGAAAATCGCTTAATAATTTTCATTGTATAACATTCAATTTTCAGTTGAGCACCTAAAATGATATGCTTCAAATATGTCTTCATTAATTATAATTAGGGATGTTGTCGGACTGGTATGAGGCAATGACGTTGGACTGGTAGTACGTGATGTTGTATCTCTTCGGTCAGAAAATCAGTCATGATTAAGCTGTGGTTTATTTTTGTGTTCAAATTGCTAAATCTTAAGCAGGTCACAAAAATCACCTGAAGGTGTCATTGTTAAATTTCACACATCTTTGGTCCCGAGAATTTGTACACAGACTCCTCATTATTTCATATACTGGTGTTTCTTGTTATTTTTTTACTGAAATATTTCCTTAAAATATATTTATCAAACCATACTTACTAACTATTGTCGATGATGGCCATACACACGCAATGTTGTTACTATCCCATACAGTTCCAAATGAACAGAATTGAAGAAAACCTGAGGTAGTTCCGTCTACGGCCATTGTGCATTGTAGAAATACTGAAGATATAGATGCTAAAGTTGCATAACCTATTCCATTAGAATAGTCGCATGTTCTGCAAAGGCTGACCACATCTATAATAGTTCCTTCCTCCAATAACAAAAAATTTGCAGCTGTTTGACTTGTAGTAGGAGAAGTTATTGGACTAGTGTTTGGAGATGTTGATGGACTAGTATTAGGAGATGTTGTTGGACTAGTATTAGGAGATGTTGTCGGACTGGTTTTAGGAGATGTTGTTGGACTGGTAGTAGGGGATATTTTTGGACTAGTATTAGGAGATGTTATTGGACTAGAAGTAGGAGATGTTACTGGACTAGTATTAGGAGATGTTGTAGGACTAGTATTTGGAGATGTTGTTGGACTAGTACTAGGAGAGGTTGTAGGACTCGTATTAGGGGATGTTTTAGGACTAGTAGTGGGGGATGTTTTCGGACTGGTTGTAGGAGATGTCGATGGACTGATAGTGGGAGATGTTGTGGGACTGGTAGTAGGAGACGTTTTTGGACTAGTTGTAGGAGAGGTTGTAGGACTAGTATTAGGAGATGTTGTTGGACTAGTACCAGGAGAGGTTGTTGGACTGGTTTTTGGAGATGTTTTAGGACTGGTAGTGGGGGATGTTTTCGGACTGGTTGTAGGAGATGTCGATGGACTAGTAGTAGGGGATGTTGTAGGACTAGTATTTGGTAATGTAATTGGACTTGTATTAGGGGATGTTATTGGACTTGTATTAGGGGAGGTGAATGGACTGGTTGTAGGAGATGTTGATGGACTGGTTTTAGGGGATGTTGTTGGACTGGTATTAGGGGAGGAATTTGGACTGGTAGTAGGAGATGTTGATGGACTGGTATTAGGGGATGTTGTTGGGCTTGTAGCAGGAGATGTATTTGGGCTGGTAGAAGGAGATGTTATTGGACTTGTATTAGGGGAGGTAGTTGGACTGGTATTAGGGGAGGCAGTTGGACTTGTGTTAGGACTGGTAGTAGGGGACCTTATTGGACTTGTATTAGGGGATGTTGTAGGACTAGTATTTGGAGATGTTGTTGGACTAG